GCCTGAGAGAATATTTTCTCTCCATGTGACTCTCCTTAGGCACACTCTACATCATCGATCACTTTCCTCTTTGACCCCGTAATCTCCTTGATCACAAAATTTGGGACACAACTGAGTTATATGATATTACAGTACAAGTTCTCATATGTCCTGAGTCTTAATTGACCTTGGAAGGCTAGGGCCCAAATGTTGGCTTTCCTTATGGCCCTCCTTTTTCTCTAATTTTTGGTCAGCAAACTTAGGTTGTTAACCCTCCAGAAGAACTTATTGTTATTACCATATAACCTAGGCTGTTAAGCTTAACCTCAGTATCTGTTTGCATATCAAACATTTTAGGCATAATATGGAACAGGCATTTTTCATAAAGTATTGATATGTTGAATTTTAAGTACCTACAGAATATGACAAAAAATTTAAAAAATTAAAATATATTTTAAAAATAGGAATAAAGAATTACATATGTTTATACATAAGTCCAGAAATCTAACCATATACAACATTGCTGCAGGAAAGTCCCGCAACATTCCTTTTTCCAGGAATTTTAAAAAGTTACTTTTGTTCTTTCATTGTGTGTGTGTGTGTGTGTGTGTGTGTGTGTGTGTGTGTGTGGCTATGTGTGGCTATGCCCCATGTGGTGCCGGGGACTGAACCACAGTCCCTGTGCTTTGCCTAAGCTTGCCTAAGCAGGCACTTTAGATCACTGAGCTATCTCGCCAGCCACAAAAGTTACTTTTACCAGAACTGGCAGGACACATCTATAATCACAGCACTCAGGATACTGAGGCAGGAGAATTTCCACAAGTTCGAGACCAGCCTGGGCTACAGAGTGAGTTCAAGGCCAGCATGAACTGCATAACAAAAGAACTGCATAACAAAACTCTCTCTCTCTCTCTCTCTCTCTCTCTCTCTCTCTCTCTCTGTCTCTCTCTCTCTCTTTGTTTTGAGACAGGGTCTCACTATGCAGCTCAGGCTGTCCTTGTACTCACTTTATAGCTCAGGCTGCTCTCAAACTTGCAACGATCCTCCTGCTTTAGCCTTCCAAATACTGAGTTTGCAGGCATGTGTCACCATACCTGGCTAAAACCCTGTCTCAAAAAACAAAACAATAAAA